CGGGTGTTGCACATATAAATTCTGCATATAGTAAATCATTGTGATAACTTTTTGCTTTTTGTATGTACAGGGACTCCACATGATCTGCTATGGAATGTTGGCTTATGTATAGCATAGCATTTAGCACTTTGTGTGATTCCTTGTCCAATGTGTATACTTACCTTATACTTTATGCTTAAAGGAGAACTATGAGGTGAGTGCTTTTCACTCACCTCATAGTTCTAGCCGACCTGTGACAATGAGACTGTCACAGGTCGGCTCAGTAGATCGGGAGGTGAGCGAACACATACCGGCGTTCGCTCACTTCTCGATCCTGTCACGGCTCTCTGCCGTGACAGGCGAGGGGCTGGATTCCCCCCTCCCCGCTCCGATCCTCCAGCGCTGACTGGCGGAACAGACGGGGGAGGGGGCGGGTACAGCTGGCTATGCCTCTAGATAGGCAGAACCAGCTGTCATTCACGCAGCTGGGCGGATCCAGACATTATTGTCGGGATCCGCTTCAGCTGCGGCGTCTCAGTATACCGCGAGCTGTAGCTCACGGTATACTGAGCTTAGGGTGACGGGAGGACGCTAGTTTGTGTCCTCCCGTTACCCTAAGGAGAACTATAAGGAAAAACACGGACCCCATAGTTCTCCTTTAAGAATATAAACTACCCTGAGATTTGAAAACTATCTTTGGTGTGCTGGCTTATTTCATTTTATGTGTATTCATGGGAAACTTCTTCGAAGGGGTCTTCAGTGTGGATTTAGCACCTGATTACCGGTATATATAAAAAAAAACTTTCTGCTTACTTTAAATGTGTAACAAATTGGGTGTGAACTATCCATTTATATTTACTAAAGGTAAATAAAGAACCTCTGCTGGGTTGTGCACTGTCTCATTTGGGAAAATTTTCTTCGATTCTTGTGTGTTAAAAGAGAACTAGGGAGTTAAGTGTTTTTCCAAATAGTTCTCTTTTAGGATCACGGGAGGACATATACTAACCTCCTCCCGTGACCCAAAGCTCAGTATATAGCCTGCTATTGCCCACAATATACTGAGAGCGTCGCACGGAGCTGGGTGGTGTCTGGATCCACCCAGCTCCGTGAGTGACAGCTGGCTATGCCTATCTAGAGGCATAGCCAGCTGTCCCCGCCCCCTCCCCCGTATGTTCCCCCACACAGCGCTGGAGGAGCGGGGAGGGGGAAATCCCTGCAGGGAGCGGTTTCTGACAGTCACCGCTCACTGTAGGGAGATGATCTGGAAGTGAGCGGATCGGCTGCATGTTTCCCGATCGAAAGAGCCGACTTGTGACAGTTTCTTTGTCACAGGTCAGCTCTAACTATGGGGATGAGTGGAAATCACTTACCTCATAGTTCTCCTTTAAGTGGAATAGGAAGCTGTTTGTGCATGCATTGGGGAGATTTCCCAACATTTCCTGTCCTAGTGGCAGTGGTCACTGGAAGAAGAAGTGAGGAGAAATCTCCCAAATCGTGTGACAGACAGGTCACAGACAAGTTACAATCAAACCACAATTTTAATGTCTTCCCTTCCCCACTCTTTCTATAAAGGAAAAATAATCGGCTTGGCTGGAGTTCCACTTAAATATGCAGAGGGAAATTTAAACAGCTGACAATGATTTTCAAGGGGTTAGATGTTTCCTGTCCACGGTTTGACTGGAGTTTATTTGACATTTTTATAGATTAACCTTTTGATGTTCCAGGTGAACAGAAATCTTTCAAACATCCTCCCAGCTTATTCCTACAGGCTGATCGCATTTATCAGGAGACTTTTTCTGTAATACACATATCTTAAAGAATTCCTTTGGCTCCAGGGCAGCCAAGCCAAAATGATTCCAACAGGAATTCTGTAAGCCTTTGTTGATTTTTTCAACTTTACATTCTGTTCCAGTCATTCATTCTTTTCACAGATCCAAACCAAAACCATTAAAGTGTTTATTGATATCATCAATATGAGAAGCTAAATTGACATTATGATATTCCCCTGCCAACCGCTTCCCTCCTGGAAATGTAAACAGTTCAGTAAAGCCAGAAAATGAAAATGAGAGGCCTATAAAAATCAGCTCTATACTAGGCATATTGATATATGGGGTATTGTGGAAAACAGGGGTAGACAAACTCTGCCCCTCCAGCTGTGGGGAAACTACAAATCCCATCACTCATCTACCTCTGGGAGTCATATATTTGGCTGTCAGAGTCTTGCAATGCCTAATGGGATTTGTAGTTGCACCACAGCTGGAGGGCCGGAGTTTGCCTACCCTCTGCTATAAAGTAAAAGGTAAGGAAAGTGATAAACGTAAGATAAGGAAATACACGTAGCAACCTGTAAGATGTATTTTTTTATGTTTATTTTTAAAACTACATCAGGCTGGAATCTGATTGTATACTTTTGGAAGTATTGTAACTTTTTGGAATAGGTTTTTTAAAGTATTTTTACTTTTTCTCTTCTGACCTAGCCAAATAAGCATTTAACAGTGCGGGGAGGAAGCCCCTGAACAGCAAAGTTAAAATAAATAAATAAAAATAAAATATGATTTTTTTTTATGGTTAGAAAAAAAATAATTTTGGGTTTTGGCCTGACAAATTTTTTATTTTCGGTTTCGGTCTGAAAATTCAATTTCTGCTTCCCAGCAATTTATTATTTTTTACTTGACTTCTGCTTTAAGTCTTCTCATTAGGGATACACTTTTCTATGTTTAAACTGAACTCCAGGCACATAACTTTTATTCAATTATACTGCTCAATAGCCACAGAGGATGTAAATCAAGTTTGTGTGCCTTTGCAGACCCAGATATTACTTTGCACATAACATGCAGAGAGCAGAGCTATGGGAGGGACCCAACAAGCCCTACCTACTACAGGTCATGTCACCTTGCCCAAGGAAAGAGCAGCAGTGAGTGGTCTTTATCACAGGAAGCTCCTGCACAGAGGCAAAGTTTCACACTGGAGAACTGCACAGATCTGGGAGAAATACACAATGCACACCAACACTGAACAACAATACACACACCTCTTGTATTTAGAAAGTATTTGATGATCCTGGTGTTTAGATATAGATATCAGACTTTAGAACAAGGTTGTAACTTTTGTCAGGTTTTTGTTGCTCTTTTTTTATTCTATGGGGAAAATTTCCCTAACTTCCCGTTCCAGTGAAAGGTAGGGGACATCTTCCCTACAGAAAGACGGACAACAGTGTGAACACAACATATCTAATCCTCTCTAACACTACCCAGAAGGGGAAGAAAAGTTTTGCCTGAAGTTATAGATATAGCTAACAAATGAGTATTGATCCACTTTGAAGTAGAATTAAACCACTTTGTTATTTTTTTGTTTTTGCCCTATATGCCCTATGTTTTTGCCCTATATGTACAGCTGGGGTGGGCAACTTACCTTACAAGAGTGCTCCTTCTCTTCGATCCTCAGCTGTTTTCCCCTGTTGCCACCATCTCAAACACAGACAATTCTAAGTCCTTTTCAGCCATTGGGTGGCCACTGACAATGTAAGTCCTGTGCATGCACGCAGGATGTACACTGGACTTGGCCTATTCACTAGACATGTGCGATTCGTTTCGAATCGAAATTCGTACGAATTTTCCTGAAATTCCGAATTTCGGAGCATCCGAAATCCGAATGGCAGTTTCCGAATTATATCCGAAATACGAAATTCCGTTAACGAATTTCGGATCCGAATTTCTTTGAAACAGGAACTAATATTACCCCTGTAAATGAGGTTGAACAGCATGACAAGATTTATTTTAAATCCGAGATACGGATCCGCTGCTGCTGATGCATTACAATACACAGTTACACACACAGGCAGGAAATACGAAATTCGGTTGACGTATTTTCGTTCCGTTACGAACATTCGTTATATTGAAGGTAAAAAGCAAAGTACATTTATATTGGAGTTGATGGTAGTTTTTTTTAAAGTCCGAAATACGAAATTCGGAATACGGAATCCGTTAACGGAATTCGTATTCCGGATAAAAAAACAACTACCACTCCAATATTAACAAAGGTATTTTGCTTTTTAACTTCATCATAACGAATGTTCGTAAAGTTACGAAAATATAACCGCCACTAACGAAAATTCGTATTTCGTATGAATCCGAATTGAGTTCAGTTACGAATTACGAAATACGAAATAACGGATATTCCGAAACGAAACAGAACAAATTTTTTGACGGCGCACAAGTCTACTATTGACAGCATCTACAATAGACTGGATACGGTGAAGGGGATAAGTGTGTACACAGAACGGTGTATGCGCCACACAGTGTACACAAAAAAATAAAAAATCACTTCTGCCAAAAAATCCCCACCTCCAAGGAATGAATTGTTTTTTAACTTTACCTGGGAAGGGGGTTTAACACCGCGGATGTCAACTGGTTAAGACTTCTCATCAGGGATACACTTTTCTATGTTTAATAATGCTAGAGTTAACAGGGTTAATTAACTAAAAGCAAATAGGCTCTGGAATTTGCACGTTGCAGCCGAAGTTTCCCTTTGCAAATAATAGCCAATCACATGCAAGGAAATTTGTTTAAAAATACAGTATTTTTGCTTGCATATGATAGGATGATCATTCACTGAACTAAGGGAAACGTCCCCTGCAAAGTGCAAATTCCCTTGCAAAGTGAACAGCCTACTGACCTTTAATAAATCATCCCCATATAATCCCTCCGGGCCTCCCAGACAATTTCAGCAGTAATACTGTAAAGTTACAGTCGTTTGTCATCACATGGAGGTGCAATGATATCACAAATGATCAGTTTGGAGAAGTGTGGAAAGCAATGTGATATTTACACAGACTGTCAGGAAAAGGTTGAGAAGAAATAAACACATACAGCTATTGAAAACTGTGAAATGGCCACATCTTGTTTCTGTCTTCTGGGTCTTATGCAGTTTGTTCAGTGTTACTTTGATCAGGTATACCCATAGGTGTATTCTATAAAGAAGAAAAAGCCAATTTATTCTTATATTTTTTCTTCTTTTTTCAGTGAATGTAGTTGCGCTACTTCAAGAATTTTGGGAGAACAAAGAAAAGAGAAAAGCAGTCTTTCCAAGTGAAAGCTTAGTGGCCTATGAGTCTGTCCCATCTCCTGACCCGCCATTTGTTTGTTTTGTCACCTTACCTGGAGGAAGCTGTTTTGGAAATTTTCAGGTGAGAGACATTTATTTTGTTCATATATTGTCATCAAGTGGGAAATGTTGGAGAGGGGAAGGGGTGAATGTAATTTGCAAATGCCCCCAATAAACTATAAAGTGGAAATAAATTAGGGAAAACCCCACCACACAGCATACTGAAAAATAATTAAAACAAATATTTCTCACCTTTTAGATGTCTCGATGCTAACTAATCATCATCCTTCAATACTTTTGAGTCACTACCCTAGAACAGGTATACAATTGAGGACCTTTTTTACCTGACTCTATCTGATCTCTACAATTTTTCCAGATTAGTGGCAAAAATACCCACACAAACCAGTGAATCAACTAACACCCATGTAACCAGCATATTCAGAAGGAGGTCAGCAATAGCAGCTTTTTTAATAATACCCTTAGCAGTTGTTTACTTTACCTTCTACATGGTGTAAACTCTTCATTGTTAATGGTCAAAACTCTATTGCACAAGGAGATTTATGCAAAAAAGTTACAGGTCCAACACATCTATGATTTTCTACTAAAACTCCCAAAATTGGAGTTACAAAGGTGAGCATCCTTTCCAATAATCCTTAAGAATCCTTACTTCTCTACACACATACACACACAGACACACAGACACACACACACACACGGTACAATTAGCTGGAGTTACCTTTGTGTCAAGGAAGGTAAATCCTTTCTGACATAAGAGTCTTGCGTATGCTATAGGACTATACTACGATTTTGTATTTAGAGTAAAACATAATGAAATAAAATAAAAAAACAAGCATTTGGTGTACATATTGTAATATTTATACCTTAAGATCTGAAAAGGCAAATCCTCCTCTTTTCTATTATCTAGAACATTTTTCCTTATACCAACACACCTCAGTCATCAGCAGGTTAAATGGGCCAAAATCTCTTTGGGTAATGGTACACGCCAGAGTTGCCCACTCTCTTATCTTTTATTCGTGAGCTCGCTGGAACACTTTTTAGCAAGTATTGGAGCTAATAATGATATACATGGAGTGGTTATAGGAAATAGGGAACATAAGTATGCTGCTTATGCAGATGATATATTGTTTTATATTCAACAACCCTCGTATAACCATCAAAAATATAATGGCAGCATTGCGGGAATATGGAGAGATATCTAATTTTAAGTCGGAATAATAAATGTTAACTTGCCATCTGGAGAGGTAGAATCTTTGAATTCAAGTTTCCCCTTTAGGTGGCAAGATCAGAAATTGAAATACTTGGGAAATACCCTTACTCCTTGCCATCGGAATTTGTTTTGTTATAACTATATTCCCCTCTCGAACAAATTTGGAAACATTTGCAACAATGGACCTCATTATATCATTCATGGATTAGTAAACTTAATATACTAAAAATGAATGTCCTGCCGAGGTGTATCTTTTTGTTTCAGATGGTACCTATAGTTCTGACCAATAGCTTTTTTAAAACATTGCGAACAATGGTATCTAGATAGATTTGGGGTAGGAAGAGGGCAAGAATCTCATACAGCACTATGATCGCTGGGGGGGATTGGCAATACCTGATTTTAAACGTTATTACCAGGCAGCAGTGCTAAACAGACTTTTGAAATTACATTATGATAAGGCAACTAAACTTTGGGTGGCTGCCAAGTTCGAAATATGTAAGGCAGATCTGAGTATAGTATGTTGGCTACTGAAGCAATATAGGCGATTGACAAGGGAAGTGCAACCATTAGTGGTAAATACCCTGGCAGTGTGGGATTCATTGCATACAAATCAAAGGTGGCAGTATAACTCTCCTTTAATGCCTCCGCTGGGTCATGACTATTTTTGCCCTGGGTATTTAGATTTTCACTTTAGTAATTGGATAGAGGAAGGTACATTAAGATTGCATCATGTAATAGATCGAGGTTTGTTGAAGCCATTGCAGATTCTATGTAAATCAGCATCTCCGTCAATTCTATGTTTGGGTGCGTTCCTGGAATTTAGCTTAAAAAGACTGCTTGCATTTTGTCAGTCAGTAAGACATATGCCAGTAATACCTCACTGCTTGCAACTGTTGACATCTACTGCCTATTGCACCATTAACAAGTGTGCCTCCTCACAGGAGACACACTCTCAGTCTTTACTGAAACCTGTACAAACTGGAAATTGTATTAAATCTAGATGATCTTGGTAAAGATCCTAAATATTCCAAACCATTCATATTTGTTTGTGAAATGTTGATGCCTTTGTTGAAATATGTGGATATAGAAATGATGTTATGGAAATATTTACTTTTGCCTTGATACATACACAATTATTTCTATGTAAATATAGAAAATGCTTTATTTATAGAAATCACTGTTATTGCAATAAATTAAACTAATTTGATACAATGTAAATATTGGTTCTATATAATCAACTTATGTTACCATGAAATGCAACACAAGTAACTACTTTGGCCTGACTCTTGAGGGAGTACTTCATCATATATTTTTCTGAATTGGTCCAAGCCTCAGCTTCCACTGAAAATAAATATCATGTTGGATGACTAATGGCCACACCGTTTAAAGTCACGTTTTATATGATATAGTGAGAGATGAGAGATCACATGCCCCTTTCCACTTGTTTTTCTTCCTAACCTCATGTTATCTTGTGATAGGTATACATGGATTTCAGAGAGCTGGATTTTGATAGCTTTAGTAATACATCAGGGGTTGAATGCAGGGACTGTGCAGCATGGTAGGATGTGAAAAAGTTTTGTTTAAGCCGTAAATTTTTGGTGTCCATCTGTTTGATAATCACAAGGATTTGTAGCAATACATACATGATCTACTCCATAAAACATGCCTAAAAATTAAGTATTTTAGGAAGGGCAGTCCCTATGATGAGGCAGCCTGAGCTTGCATCTTTTTGGGTCTGCTGTACAATGTTTGCAGTGTGCCTACCTCCCACTTTCCAGCCAGAATGCCCCGGGTTGCTAAGAGCTAGGCGTGGAGATGTGTAAGGGCCATACAAATCTCCCCGCCCAGCTCTTAGCAACCTGGGAAGCTCTTGCCGGCAACCTGCCAAGCTCCTGGCAACCAGTGAGATCACTGGTGTGATCACATGTTAAGCTTCAAAATTGCGTGGATCTGTGAAATGGCAATAAAACTATGGTACCCATAATTGTAAAAGGCACTTGCTTGAAAGCTTTCACCGGTCATCAGTTTAAAGTTAACCATGAATAATGGCCTTAGAATTGTTGCCCTTACTCTGGCATGTGCGGTTATACTCAACAGGTGTATGGCAGCCGTTGATTTTGTATGTAGGTGCAGTTGGGGTGTGTGTGTGTGTGTGTGTGTGTGTGTGTGGCTTTAAAAAATATTTTTTGGGTGTTTTTAAATTTATTTTATTTAACTTTTAACTATTTCTTTAAACTTTTTTTTACTTAACTGTATTGCTATCACAAGCACTAGCATATTGGAGGTGACATGTACTATTTAGGAAACAATTGGTTCACATTTGCACTGTGCAATGAAATCATGCTTGAGAATGCCAGCTCTGAAACTGGAAATGATGAAATTGGCATCACTTGTGGGTTAATTTACTGGAGGGGAGATTAGTGAATTGATGTTCACTGGTCACCCTCTCCTCTAGCAGCCCACACCCACCATGCTGGTCCCAGGCCAGCATGGCGGGATGGGGGCCTTATTGGCTTATACAGTAAACAGGCAGAAGTTACATATGTCACAAATGTAACATATGCTACTACTGTAAATACATTTCTCTCTATAATCTTCAGCAGGGAAGGTAACCCAAATAATCTAATGTCTGACAACGACCCACATTTAAAAAAAATCTATTTTAAATACTTTACTGAGAGAGAGAGAAATATTGTGCATAGGAAATCCTCATTCCATTACCCCCAAGCAAATGGAAAAAATGAGAGCTTCAACAGAAAGATTTCAGAAGTTTGGTGAAGGACATTTTCTGATGGACAGCAATCAAACTGGAGACCAGGAACCCAAACTGCTCAGACATATTAGGAGAATCAAAAGAATGCCCCATGTGTAAACCACCAAGAAAGAATTATGTGATATAATTAAAATTAATAGTACTGTTTTGTAATATAATTCTATACAGTGTAGTTTTCTGTATTTTCTAATATTTAGGAAAAAATTATTTTGTACTATGAGTGAAATATGTGGTGTTCATACCTCTGGCCTGTAGATGTAACTATTTACAGTTGCTACCTGTCCAATACTTTCTATACTCTGTTCCAGTTTCGATAAATATAGATGCCTGGACTTGTTAATAAAAGCACTCTGTAGCTACTCTGCTTCCCAGACTACAGGATACAACAAGCAACTAAGGTTTATTTGAGAAACAACAAAGATTTACTCCCTATAACCACCAATGAATGAGCCATCAAGGATTGACCCATACCCAACCATTTGATGATTGACAATATCAAGCATCATAATGATGAGCCATTAAGTACTGACCCATAGCCAACCATTTGATGACTGACCATATCAAGCATCGTAAGGATGAGCCATCAAGTACGGATCCATAACCAACCATTTGATAATTGAGCGTATCAAGCATCAAAAGGACTATTTTTGATGCTTGTGGGTTGTGCTGACCCAAAACCAGCCATTTGATAATTTACCATATCAAGCATCAAAAAGACGAGCCATTAAGTACTCGCCCACAAGCAACCATTTAAAGCTTGACCATGCCACAAATGGTTGAATTCAACAGAGCTAGCCACATAATTCAACATATCAAGCATCAAAAAGACGAGCCATTAAGTACTCGCCCACAAGCAACCATTTAAAGCTTGACCATGCCACAAATGGTTGAATTCAACAGAGCTAGCCACAGAACACCCACCCGGATAAGGTCTAATAATCCTTTTGCTTCTGAAACATGATAGTGCTAGAAAACAGGTCTGGGAGTTTCTCTAAACTGGTATTTCTTCAACACGGGATATTTATAACTTTCTTTAGAACCTAATAGGATGTATTGCAGTAAAGAAGTTCTCGATATTGCT